TCATCTTTGTGATGTTAAGAATTCTGCTTTTAGTGGTCTATATGTTTTATTAGATAATAAATAGTTTGAAAGATACATGTACAAAATAGGCAAACAAAGAGATAAGAAAAAAAAAAATTAATTCAAGTAAAGTGTATTAAATGTGGAAATAAAAAAAAAGTGTTTTTCTTTGATGAGGGTACACAACATTAGTGGGTGAGATATTTTGATAAATTTTTCATTTAAAATTTATCAAATATGATTGACTTTAGTGATCTTAATATTATTTATAATAATATATTTTTTTATTTTTACCGTCCTATTAATAATAAGGAAGCTGAGGAGGTTTTAAAGAAAATGAGGGTGGAAAGTCAGTAGGACCTGATGATAACTTAATAGAAGTGTGAAAATATTTAGAAGATTTGTGGATTTGTTGGCATACTAAACTTTTTAGTATTATTTTGAAAGATAAAAAGATGTATGACTAGTAGAGGAAGAGTATTTTCGTTCATATTTTTAAGAATAAAATAGATGCATAAGAGGACGCAAATTATAGAGTAATTAAGTTAATGTGTCATACATTAAAATTTTGGGAGACTAATTGAACATCGGTTTGGATTTATACCGTGCAAACCTACTATGAAAGCTATACATTTATTGAGAGGTTTGATGAAGATGTACAAAAAGAGTAAGGAGGATCTGCATATCATTTTTGTTGATTTAGAAAAATTTAGAAAAAGTTTATGATAAGGTTCCAAGAGTTTCTTTGAAAAGTTCTAGAAAAGAAATGTGTTGATATGACTTACATTCAAGTCATTAAAAAATGTATACTAGAGTTGTTACTTTTATTCGACTAGAAGAAGGTTTGACCAAGTATCTCCTATTTTTGTTGGATTACAACTGGAATCGACTTTAAGCCCATATCTTTTTGTTTTTGTTATGGATGCTCTTACTGGACATTTACGTGAGAATGTATCTTGATGTTTGCTTTTCGTTGATGATATCTTGGTGGATAAGACTAGAGAAACGGTTCAGGAAAAACATGAATTATGGGGGTCAACTTTAGTGTCTAAAGACCTTCGTTTGAGTAGATATAAAATTAAATAAATGGAATATAATTTTAGTAGTAGTAGATTTAGTGGCAGAGTTGTAAAATGGGTGACCAAATTATTAAAAGGAGTCAACGTTTTAGATATCTCAGGCCTATTGTTCAAAGTGTTGGTGATATAGATAGGGATGCTATTAGTAGAATTCAAGTTGGATGCTTGAAGTGGGGCAATGCATCAGGCCTATTGTGTGATAGAAAAGTACCGCTTAGACTTAAAAGGAAAATTTTATAAGATGGTGGTAAGACCTGCAATGTTTTATGACGCAGAATGTTGGCCTATAAAAGAGAAGCATAAAACTAACTTGAGTGTTGTTGAGATGAGAAGACTTATGTGGATGAGTGGCATTACACTTAGAAACTCTAGTGGCAGATAAGATTAGAGAGATCGTCTTGGATGGTTTGGTCGCATTAAACGTCGAGGAGCTGATGATCCATAAAACTAACTTGAGTGTTGTTGAGATGAGAAGACATATGTGGATGAGTGGCTTTACACTTGGAAACTCTAGTGGAAGATAAGATTAGAGAGATCGTCTTGGATGGTTTGATCGCATTAAACGTCGAGCAGCTGATGATCTTGTTAAGGGAGTTTATGTTTTAGATTTGGCTTATTTTAAGAAAGGTAGAGGTAGACCTAAAAAGAATTGACATGTTGTATAAAAAATGATCTTAATTTATTAGAATTGAATGAAAATATGTCACTCAATAGACATGATGGAGAAAAAGAATTCATATAGCCGACTATTTAATGTGATAAAGGCTTGTTGCTGTTGTTGTAGTGATTTTCAAAGTTTTCCAATTTCTTCTTTATTAAACTTCCTTTTTATTTGGCCAAGTTGATGGCCTTGCTTGAGCATATGCTATCGTCATGTGGTCTGATTTGCTTAAACCGCGCTACAAAAGCTCTCCAAAAACTTTAGTTTCCTATTAAAACTATGAAGGTTGTGATCTGATTTGGCACATGAAACAATAAAGGTTGCGAGGAGACACAATTGAAGGAATTATTTCTTATTCCACAAAGTACTTGATACTAGACTATATAAACTGATCTACAAATGAAATAAGAAAATATTTGCAGCTATACAATTTAATTTAAATTTTAAACAGTGTGAATTTTCTTCTTTGTTAATTAATTTGTTGGATCCTAGTTTTTTTATTTCCATGCATTTGAGGGATCCTGACTTTTCTTCTTTGGCATGAATCCTTGCGATGCTTGTTTCATGCTTTGCATGAAGCCCATGGGATCTTGATTTCTTCCTTTAAATAAATCTGTGAGATCTTGATTTTCTTCTTTACGTCAATATATGGGTTCTTACATTAAGAAGATTTGCTGCATTTTCATGCTTTTTTAGTTTGCGATTTCTTTTTGTTTGCATGTTTGAGAGAAGCTGTTTTTCATGGAAATATGAGTAGTTGATGGAGATTATTTGAAGCGATGTTGCAAAAAAAGTACAATTACCTGAAAAAAAATAAATTGTCACTTTTGTTTCTAGTAATCATTTAATTCATCATATCTGCCTACTTTCTTTTTTCTTTTTTTTTTTTAAAGTTCATGGCTAACATTAAACATCAATTATTCAACGAAACTGTGCGCTTTGCTTAATGCTTGGCAACATAAAAAACTGAAATTAATAAATTTAGATAAATTTTTTTGGTTAATAAATTCAATTGAATTTATTATTTATGTTTACGAAACTACAATAAGATGGTCAATGAAACAATTATCATTCCTATTCTATATTTTTCTATGGTTATTTATCATTAATAATGATGCTATAATTATGGGCTGTAGTCTTTTATTTGCTTGAAACAGAGCTTATGCGGTGATTAGGACGCTTGGATCAGCTCATAGTAGTTGGCCGATACTTAACATAGTGACGGGGAACTGGCTGCGTGATATGAATTCATTTTAGTCTGATTGATTAAATTGCATTAGTGTATTCTATTTCAATTTGTGTCTGCTAGCAGTTAATAGCTTTATTACCTACCTCATTTAATGTCTTTTAATGAATTGCCACATCAAAATTGATCAAATTTTAACTAAGAGATGGAAGGTTTTGTCGCATAATCCAGTAATATGGTACAAGCGCATCACCATGGCTCTTTGCTCCATTACCTATCGTAGCCTGAATATGAAAATTGTGTGCTTGTATGTAGAAAATATTGATATTTTTAAATGCTAGTGTTAAATTTTTTAAAAGATCCAAGTTTGGTTGTTTGTTGGCTTGGCCCAACCTAATGAATGCAGGGTCACTCGTGTCATGCTTGGGCGTAACATTAACAAGCTTTGATCCTGTTTTATTTAATCCACCATTGAGCAGGTTTAATTTATGCATCCTAAAATTGTCATTTTTACTGTTTGATGTAATTACACAATTACTTTTTTCAGTAATCAAGTTAACTTAATCTACAAATTTTCATTAATAATAATGAAACCATCTCAACCAAACATTTAAAATACTCGACTTAAATTGTGCCAGATATATGCCAAAGAATTTTATTGATTTTTAGTATTTTTTTCTGCTAATATAATAAATCCTTACAAATTTCAATAACTGCCATTTTTTCATACTTTATTTTTTATGCTATATCAAATTTAATTATCTATGCAGCAATAATGCATTTCATATTTAACTTGATTCAACCTTTATTAGTGTGGGCAGTCCTCTTGTTAGATTTTGAGAAGCAAGAAGGATTGAAGTTCGATGGATGATTTCTAGCTAATTGTTACCTTTCTTTTCGATCTTGTTGATTGAGATGCACTTAGGGTGCTAATTCATGTTAATTGAACTAATTTATTTTCAATGAAAAATAACACTATGACAACTTGAAACACCTCTTTTTTGAATGAGTTGAAAACTTCAATGAGCACAATTCAATGAAACTCGAAATCAACTCATCCATATGTGATAAGTAGTTGGGTCATATTGACTTACTATTAACTGGACACAAAATAGGCAGACAAAAAATCAGCAAAAACTGCTTTTAGATTTGAGTTTTCACTTGAGAAGAATCACCTCATTAGATTAATTAAAAATTCTAATTTTTGTTTTGAAATGAACTTAATCTCAATCATGCTTATATTTTTCGGGTCACTTTTGGTGCTAACCCATACTTGACTCAAACCCTGCAAAGTTTGTTGGAACCAAACATTTCATTTTGCGTTTGTGTCGAGCAATCATGTTGGGATGATTTTTGACACAACTAGTTGTACAGTTGCTCTCCAACCGAATGAGTTAAGTCTTAACACTTTAAGCAAGATTATCTTGGGATCAAATTTAATAAATGAACATAGTAGATTTAGAAAATTGTAAAGGAAGCCGTCCAACTTTCTTAACCTCTCTCCCTTTGTTTAACTTTCTCTTCAGCCAAATTATCCCTTATAACTCGCTAGATCATCTTAATAGATTTTAATGGATTAATTGATGGAGGATGTTTCAAACACTTTTTCAACTATGCATGACTTCTGCTTCATGATTTGAATTTTATGTGTTTAAGATTATGATAGTGTGGTGAGGATGCAAGAATCCTCGAAGACATTGTAGAAAGTGGAAAGACAATTTTTTCATGACTTTAAGGAGTGAAATGTGGCACTCTACTAAGTGACATGCATCACAAAATAACCTTATATTGGTCTTTAGAAATTAGTTATAGATCTTATGCGAGGCTCTTCCAAGAAGTGCAAATTGCGCATAGTTGTAGATCTTGTAAAATTTTATTTGTTTTTCTTGATATGAATGCTTTTTTAGTTTCAGTTCGCTATCAAAATGATCCCTTATGAGTAAATATTTTATATTTATTTGCTCCGAAGATCTATGCATTCAATGAAATTTTCTTGGTTAAAAATTTGTTTCTTTGTAAACAGATATCTATAATCCGTATTTCATCTAATGATTATCTCTATATATTATCTTAGACTGCCAAGGGCGTGAAAATATATAATGCTGCAGTTGCGGCTACTGCTGATGGTCAACAATCTATTAAAGATGGTGATGAGAAGAATAAGATGCATACCCATTCTTACTGTTGCTTGGATTATGCACAGGTAGTTTTGCTAATTTCTCTTATTGTCCTTGTTCATTTTTGTGAGAACTGTTGCTTCAAATTGTTCTAATTATCAGATGGTAAACAAGTAGGTTTCATGGAAAGATACATGACTAAACATGGAAGAGTAAATTTACAAATATGAATTGAGGAGGTGCTTGATTATGAATTTTAGATTTAAAATTCTAAAATAAGAGGGAATACCCAAGAAGGAGGTAGAGAGAGTTAAATTACAAGATTCAAAATTTACCCCAAAAATTAACTCCGAGAATTTCTCCCACTTATTTATAGTGTTCGTCCAGCTTTATTGAAGTAAATCAAGGATATTTCTTATATTTAAGAGAATGTTATCTATAATTTAAAGGGATTTATGATCCTTTTGGATGATATTTTTGAACTTAGAGAACTTATTTTGAACTGTAGATAAATTGGCTTCTATTTTTCTAAAGTAGAAGGCTTTAGCTTGTGACATTTAAATTTGAAATTGGTAATTGATTAAAATTAATCGACTTTTAATATCCCTTCTTACATCTTTCCCAATAGGTCTTACTCAAGCTTCTCTTTTGATAATTTATGACAGAAGATTTCTATCAAAACCCTTTTAATTTACTCCCTCACAATCAACTTGTGTAATATAATCAAATTAATAAAAACACACGTGTAGGTGAGAGTGCAAAGGATGTGCTATTCCAATATAACAGTGTTCACTTGACAAACACACTCTGAAAGGTATCACACTATTTATGATCAACAACCAAATTTGTGAACAATTAAATCAACTTATAAATGCAACCAAATAATTGTCCTTTGGTGCATGAATGGAAGTAAGCTAGATGTATGTGGTTGGTAAGCACAATGCCATTGATTTACTCAGTTATACAAGTTATGATTCACATAAAATCATTCATCACTAATCTACTACTGAGATATATTGGTGATGGTGATGTCGCAATATTGGATTTGAAGTTATTACAATTAATTACAAGTATAATAATTTACTAAAGAAAGATGTAGCTATATACCATGCTTAGCACCACGTAAACATGAGCATTAAAATAAATAAGTAAAAAAGGCACATATTTGAATCTAAATTTGGAGGGACATGACTATATTCTATGTTTCAACACTTGACCTACATCTTGGGTTAAGCACATTTTGTTTCGTATTTTATGGCCCAACACTTTCATACGAACGAGGCACAAATTTCCACAACAATTAGGGCAAAACAAAACATTTTACTTCACCGATACAAATACACAACTGAAATACATAAAAGATAAATCTACGATTCAACAGGTAGGTGATTTTCTCCCAACCTACAATTCGAGAGGTAGACGATCTATCCCCAAACCATAAGTCTAATACCCAAGAAAAAAATCTCATTGTATCTAACATAAGCATAATAACCTTTATTTATACTAAACAATAATAACTAATAAAAGACTAAATTGTCTTTAGGCGCCAGTCTAACATCATTCTCCTCTCAAAAAGACACGAAGTTCACAAGGTGGAAAAAAAGAAATTGCTACTGTTTCAAGTTAAATGGCTTCCACGATGTGTCAATCTAACAATCCTTTCTATTTAATCAGAAATTTGTAGTGATCCTCATGAGTTTGAACACCATCTTGTACATATTCTTCAGTAATATTAGAATTTGTTGGTATCCTGACTTCAAGTCAATCTGGGATGCTACTACATACCCAAACAAGTTGTCAAGTAGCTCATCGATTACCGGGATGAAAAATTTTTTAGGTATTGTTTTTTTATTCACTGCTCGATAATCCACACAAACACCAACTCCCATCTTTTTTTCTTAAATAGCAAAGTCAGACCATAAAAGGGGCTCACACTGTGTTGTATGATCCTGGCCTCCAATATCTCTCAGATTGATATCTCAATCTCAGCCTTCTGTGTCTGGGGGTAGCGATATGGGCACACACTGATGAAAGAAATGTCCGGCCTCAGGTTTGAAACAAAATCGAGTACCTCTCCCAATAACTTCGCTTGATCCTGTTTGCTTCCGTTTGTTCCAGCCATCTGGTTGTCGTACTATTCCTTTCAACTGTTTCCACTTGTTTTCGCTGTAGACACTGTCACTTGATCCCGTGGCAGGTGACCACAAGTTTGCGTGGAATTTCACAATCTTCTTTATCATTTCTTTCAGGGTCGTGAATCTCTCTTCCATGGGCGAGAATAACCCCTCCATGACTAAGAAACACTCATCCATTTTATATCTGATTTGTCTCACATCTTCCTCTAATTTTTTTCTCTAAAATATCTACTTTCTTAGCTTTCATTACACCCAGGATGGTTTTTGATCAAGAAAATTGAACTCCTGTGAGCTGCAACTTCCCAATTAGCTCGAATCACGACTGTCTTGCGAGGTTAGATCACGAGCGATATTGTTGTTGGCTTCCCAGTGCCCATTTTGCGACCGTATCACAACTAGGGAACTTGTGATTCGAAGTTGGCTTCCAGTGCTCGTTGGGATCCTGATGTGGCTTCTAGTAGTCGAATCAAGATGATCTTGTTTTTTGTTTCCCAAATTGCTTCAGCGGGCATGTCGCTTGCTTCCCAACTAGCTTGAGATCATCGGTATCACGGGTTCAATTCTTTGATCCCGTTCGTGGGGTTCGAATCTTGACAATACATGGTCTGTATCGCTATTTTGGTCTTGTACACTGCGATCCCGCTCTTGTTTCCACAGAGATTAGGACAAAATAGCTTGCACCTTGTACTCCACTATCCTTCACGAAATCGAATGTTTTGATACCAATTTTATGTAAACGAGACACACATTTTCACAACAATTAGGGCAAAACAAATTATTTTACTCCATCGATACAAAAAACATGCAAGCCAACTATATAAAAAATAAGTTTACAATTCGAGAGGTAGGTGATTCTCTCCCAACATTCAAGAGGCCGGTTGTCTTTTTCCCAAACTTTAACCCTAATACTCAAGACATCAATCTCAACATACCTAACCTTAAGCATAATAATCCTTATTTATACCAAACAATAATAATTAAGAAAAGACTAAATTGCCTTTCGGCTCCTGTCTAACGCACTATTACTGGTAAGCTAATAGAAAAATTATTACATCTTTCTTAAAGGGCACTCCTCCATCTTAGTTCTAGATATGTGAAACTCTAGCCAAGAGAAACTTTACGAAGTTCTCCGAGCTTTTGGCGGTGAACAAAACTCACTAACAAACTTCAAATTATATAGTTGTTACAAGTGAAATCATAAGATATATGAAGCCAACCAACAAAAATATATTAGCTGTGGTTGAGAGATAAGATTAGAATGGAATGATTCATTATTTTTAAGGATATTTTTGATGGATCGTTGATAACGACAAGCCTTTAAGCTCATATTCTTCTGGCTCTGTTCTTAGAATTGACGTGGGGCTCACCTGGGGGAGGCTGAACCAACTGGTTCAGCTGTAAAGGTGTTGAACTTGTTCAGCATGTGGCCAAGTGGAGCGGTCTCCCTCTCATAGTTATCTATTATCATAAAAATGTTTTTTGCTTTGATTAGGGTTGGGTTCAATTTTGTCATGTTTTCTATCAGGATAACCGTCGACGTCCCCTGTTTTCTCTCTTAGGTTTGTATTCTATGACGAGTGGTGCTCCGGCAGTTTCTCGCTTCAAGGTGACGATTAATTTCGACTCTCCCACCCTGTCGCGATTGTCGTACCTTGCCGCCGATCTTAGGTTTGTATTCTATGACGAGTGGTGCTCCGGTAGTTTCTCGCTTCAAGGTGGCGATTAATTTCGAATCTCCCACCCTGTGCAATTTGCTCCCCCCCTGTCGCGATTGTCGTACCTTGCCGCCGCCCACTAGAACTGGCCCATCGACTGTTCTCCATGTAGTCCTTTTCGCCTCCCTCCCACGCCGTCTCTTCTTCCTTCCCGCTGCCGTCCTAGCCTCTTCCCATTGCCATTAACTCCAACATTACTGTTGCTGTCGCTAACTCTGACCTCCCTAGTTCTTGCAGCCAAGCCCAAACCTTTTGGCTTGCCGTCTTAAACCCTACAACCATCCTGCTTTTTGCTGCCAACCCCCAAGACTTCTCCTGTTTCTGTCGCAACCCCTCACACATCCCCACTAACTGTCGTAAGCCCACTCCTGCCCTCTTTTCGTTGCCTTCATCTCCCCTCCCAGCCAACCATCCCACCTCTTGTTCAGCCGACATTCACCAGTTTTGTCTTCACCCTAGGAGATCATTGGTGTTTTGTGCTGTTTCATTTTTGTTTTAAGAACATTTGTCTTAACCCGCTTGAATTTTAACAAAAATGATTGCATTTCTATTGTGATTTGGGTTAACTTTGGTATTAATTGATATTAGAGCTAGCCCAACCTTGGTTTATTCTAGGATTTTCTAGCATCCGCCATACCCAAACCTTTTCCAAATATTTTTTTTCCTACCACCAATTATTCTTTTCACTCTCACAAATCACAAACACTTACCATGCTTCCAAGGAGATATATGTCCGAGCTTACCCGGGAAGAGATACAGCGAGAGATTGATGATGGCACTCGGGGGGAAATTACTTTTGATCTTGACATTGAAAGTCAAAGGGGCAGAAGGGACGATCAATCCCTTCCACAAGGTGGATTTAGTGATGAGGAAAATAGACCATGATGCTTCCGAATTTAGTTTCAAAGGAGGCTGAGAGAAGATGAAACATATGGAGGATATAGAGACTTCAGAGTCAAGGTGGATTCACTAGAGTTCGATGGAGGTATGGATCCAGACGATTTCATCAAATGACTATAGTTAGTTGAGAGGATCTTTGAGTACAAGGAGGCGCCAGAAGATGAGAGGGTGAAGCTTGCTGCCATCAAGTTGAAAAAGAGCACTTTCCTGCGGTGGAAAAACTTGTAGAGGCAGAGAAAAAGAGAGGACAATGACAAGATTACTAGGTAAGAGAGGGAAAGAGATGCAGTGAAAATACCTACCTCTGCATTATCACAATGATATATTTTTGAGACT